TAGAAGGGTCCATTCCTAATGAAATCTGGCAACTTAGCACTCTGGATAGTCTTGTTCTTGGTCGCAATGAGAAGTTAGGAGGCACAATCCCCTCAATTATAAGCACTCTACCAAAGCTGAGGTGGCTTTTGATGGATGACTGTGCTCTGACTGGTAAGTTTCTTGTTTGTCTCATGTTTACTCCTGCCAACGCTACTCAATCTAAGTTGTCATTACATGGTGCTTGTCTTCATTCTAAGGCTCTATTCCTACAGAGCTTGGACAGGCCAGATCTCTAGAATGGCTGGCTTTGTTGGGGAATCAACTTTCTGGGACTCTCCCCAGTGAGCTTGGATCGCTCTCGAAGCTTTGGCTTCTTTCTTTGTATGGCAATCTTCTCGAGGGGACTCTGCCTAGTGAGCTTGGTCTTCTTACTTCAGCCCACATTATCCTGCGCCACAATCTCTTCACGGGCGCTCTCCCCTCTGAGCTGGGTCGCCCTCCACTGCAAGGGCTAGTCCTCGAGTCAAACCAGCTTTCTGGTACAATTCCCCGTGCTTTCTCTAGCCTTTCCAACTTGGAGTATCTCTCTCTGGGAAACAACTCATTCACTGGCACAATTCCTTCCGAGTTTGGGCTTCTGACATCACTGGGCAGACTTACCATGGAAAACAATCTCCTCCATGGAACTGTTCCAGTGGAGCTGGCTTCCTTGCAGAAATCGCTGTACAGCTTCCGGATTGAGGGCAACAGGCTGCTCTCTGGTGTGATACCCGAACCTCTTTGTACCGTCAATGGTACATGCATTGGCAAGAATGGCTTGGGAGCTTGTCAGGGGCCTTTTGGGTCGTCTTTTGACTGCACCCAGTCGTTGTGTGGGTGTGACTGTCCCTGCTGAGTTTCTATGTTACTTGGAAAGGGTGGGCCTGCTTAGCACGGAAGCTACGTCCACAGAACATAAAAGGCTTGGTACAGAAAGTACAGCGGGACCTCTGTGCCGACATCAGCCCAACCGTACACTACCCCTGTAGAAGCGCCATAGAGGAAAGTAGAGGATTAGCCAATCAGAATCGTCAGCCGACTGACGTCAGTCAGTCGTGATCAGCCGACTGATGTCAGTCGTGCATTATTTATTTATTTATTTATTTATCTCTGTGTCAGCTCGATCAGTCTCTCGTCGTGTATAAGAAGGGGTTTAGAGTAGGGAAATTATCTACGGAAGCCAGCCGGGGCCAGGCTTAAGCAAAGAACAGTCGAAATTCAGGACTAGGTTCTGAGGGATCAGGGGCAAGAAATTGAGGACCATTACGGGGGGCACGAAGGTTTGGCTTGCGGATCCACGAAGACATAATGGTAGCTTTCACAGGCAATAGAATCGGGTCTGCATGAAGAACATCATTGAGAGTAGGAAAATTGAGTTTTGGAGCAGTAGCAGAAGCAAGGCGTTGTAAGAGATCTTGGCTTGAGGGTGTTGTTTTCGTGTTGTTTTGAAGACGACAGAGCATGCATCACAGAGGATTCGCCAGAGGATTTCGCAGAGGATTTCGAATTGAGCGAGATAGTGAAGCAAGACAATAAAACGAGGTCACCCTTCCGTATTCAGTAGCGCAGAGGTACTTCGCAGATGTTACTTACCGCATCAGTAACCGCAGAGGTGCACCAGCGAAAGCGAGGATATATCCGCTCTCGCAATCCTACTCAGTAGCCGCAGAGGTACTCACCGCAGAGTATACCGCTTCATGCCTCCGAAGACGAAGAGTGCGAGTACGAAAGAGGCCCGGCTGGTATCGACCACTACATCCGGAACCTGTCTCCAGTGGACGGTTCCCAAGGTGGACGACAACGGCATGTGTTCTTGGCGGCTGTTGGCAAGGAAAGGACGTGCCTCTGAAAGCTAGGACTCTCTAGTGGCGGGGAAATTGGATCAATATCTGCAGCGCCATTTCCCACAGGGAGCAGTCCACGGAGTCACATTCCTGTTGTGAGAGCCTTGCAAGAAGAAAGCTGCAGGCCAGGGCCAGTCCCAAATTAGAATTTCTTTGGGACGGCGTTGACAAACGATGGAGGCAGATGGCCAGGATCAATGAACATGCGCTGGCAAGAGAAAGGCTGCTCACAAAGCAAGGTGGTCTACCAAGCCAAGCTGTTGAACCCACACAAGCTTCGCAGACATGAAGATTGGCCAGGGTCCTGGGAAAGTCATCAAAAGACAAAGCCAGAGATGCAGGAGGCTCTGCTGCAATGCTTTGAGGGCAAGCCAAAAGACCTGTTTCCACTCCTGCTAGCTAGCTTGGTGGTTGGGCCCCAAGGGGCCTCAATCTTTATGGTTCAGAGCCCCTCCGGGGGCTCAACCTTTATAGTTAGCTTAAAAAATTTTCTGCTTGGAAAAATTTTTAAGCTAGTACTATAAAGGTTGAGCCCCCGGACCCGACTTTATCCAGTTAGGTCTGTTGTGGATCTAATATTGCATACTAGTAGCTAGATATTTGCAAAACACGTCCTTCATGTAGTGCCAGCCATGACTAAGAATTCGATGAAGTTTCTTCTGGATTCTGAAGAAGGGGTTTAGAGTAGGGAAATTATCTACGGAAGCCAGCCAGGGCCAGGCTTAAGCAAAGAACAGTCGAAATTCAGGACTAGGTTCTGAGGATCAGGGGCAAGAAATTGAGGACCATTACGGGGGCAAAGGGTTTGGCTTTGCGGGATCCACGGAGACATAAATATGGTAGCTTTCACAGGGCAATTGAGATACGGTCTGCATGAAAACATCATTTTAGAGTAGGAAAATTGAGTTTTGGAGGCAGTAGCAAAAGCAAGGCGTTGTAAGAGATTCTTGTCTTGGGGGGCAAGCATGCCATTCCACTGAAACAACAAAGGGTGGAAGGAAGCGCGATGGACTCGCACGCGTCTTTATATTTGAATTTTGTCGCGTTCTTGTTGGGTTAAAACTTTGACGGATCTTTGTTGCGGTAAGAGGCACAGTCCAAATCAGTGACGCGTACGTCAATAATAGCTGTAGTACCTCGTTCAAACAAGCCGCGAATAGAAAGATCACCACGTAAGAGCTCGGGGGCTGGAGGGGGATTGAGAGGGGGGGGAGGAAGGGGAGGTAAGGTAGAAATTGGGTGACCGGCAGGGATAGTAGGGGCGGGAACAGAGGGAAGGGGTAGTTTCTTCTGGATTGGCTACTCTACAGAGGAGCTGTAGACTTGTTGTATGCATAGTGCTGTGATTTATCTTTGACCACTTCAATCATTCTTGAGAGTTGCCATGACTGAACTATAGTTATGGCTATCGCAATAGAATAAGTTCGCTTGTTTCGTTCCCTTCCAAATAGGCTCCAAATAGCGAGCCAAGTGGAAACCTAAATGTAATAGCGCGTAGATGGACTATCAGTCAATCAATTCGACTCGACTCGGTCTTCTTCTCGTCTGTTCCATCGTTGTCGTCCTCAAATTCCACTGGAATACGCGACGCAGGGCAAACCCCACGAAAGAAAGCACCGCCTGGAGCCTCGTTTTCAAACTCCACCGGAGGAACGCGCCCAGCCTTTGGATCAAAGCATCCAGTCAGCGAAATAGAGAAGGCGAGGCCCTCGCTAGAAATGCTAGCCGGAGAAGATTGCTGTCCTTATAGAAAGCATGGGCGTCGACCACCTTACAGAACAAGGCTCCATGGGATGTCCACGTTGTTGGATTATTACCCGGAACGCCTTGAATTGTCGTGTGCATGCTCCATGGGCGCCCCTGGGCGTCAATGGTCAGCGCACCACAGTCCCCTGAAAAGGTAAGCCTTGTTTGGCCTGTGGGTTCCATGCTGCCTTGGTTGTCATCATTTTCCCCCCTTCGCGGAACTCGGACACCAATCATTCCACGACGAGCGGCCCCATACATAATAAGTTGTGATCCGAATGGCACTTCTTCCGGAATAGGCGTGAATGGTGAAGGGCGTTTGATTTTGACAATCTTGTCATCGCCACTTGACAAAGCCACAGAAAGTGGATCAATCTTGATATTCGGGAAGATTTCAAAGACTGCGGAATCCGTCGAAAAATCGATGGATACGAGGCTTCCAATCTTGATGGTTCTGTGCTTTCCTGTTGCAGGAAGGGGTTCGTCCGAGTCCACAGCCCACACAGAAGGGCCTCTGGGGAGATTGTAAGAAGTAAAGACATGTGCTACTGTCAAACCGTACTGCTTGTCTCCGTGCTCCTTCCAGGCGACAGCCAATGTACAGAATCCAGGCCCAGAAGAAACCCAATCACCCCCCCCGGAGGCGACGTATATTACCATTCAACGAGCGAATCTTCATATTGCCGTGCGCGGTGTCGTCACGCTGTTTTCGAACGTCCGAGGGCGACCAAGAGTTCACAACTTCGTCCATGTTCACCCGACTTGACGGCTGTGGTGTGTTATGTTGGGATCATCAAGCGAATTTGAAGACTTTGTTGTTCAGTGCTTCGATTACGAATTAATAAAATTCGGTCTTACCCCCCCAGCTCTTCCAGCTCTCTGTGATGGCTGTACTGGTCCTTCAGCGTTCCACATGCTTTGGTTGCAAACGTGGCGGCTTATCATCCGTCGCCATGAAATCCGCAATGAACTTGGCTTCTATTGCGTGTGAATGCTTTGGTTCCCTCTAGCGTCCAGTCGGAACCTCCCCTTCCATCTGTGTCCCGCCCCTACTATCCCCTGCCGGTCACCCAATTTCCACCTTCCTCCCCTTCTCCCGCCCTCTCAATCCCCCTCCAGGGGCCCCCCGAGCCTTCCTTACGTCGCGGGTGATCTTTCCATTCCGCGGCTTGTTCGAACGTGTACTACAGCTATTATTGACGTTACGTGGTCACTGATTTGGACTGTGCCTTTACGAAACAAAGTCCGTTCAAAGTTTAACCAACAAGAGACCGACAAATTTCCAAATATAAAGAAGCGTGCGACTCAAATCACGCTCTTTCACTCCTTTGTTGTTTCTGTGGACGTATGCTTGCCTCCCAAGCAAGACTCTCTTACAACGCATTGCTTCTGCTACTGCCTCAAAAACTCAATTTTCTACTCTCAAATGATGTTTTTCAGCAGACCCGTATCTCAATTGCCCTTGTGAAAGCTACCCCTTTTATGTCTCCAGTGGATCTCGCAAAGCCAAACCATTTGGCCCCGTACTGGTCCTCAATTTCTTGCCCCTATCCCACATGAACCTAGTCCTGAATTTTCGACTGTTCTTTGCTTAAGCCTGGCCCCGGCTGGCTTCCGGTAGATAATTTCCCTACTCTAATCCCCCCTTCATTAAATGTATTTGTTGATTTAGTGCGTTTTACATTTCGTCCTGCGTCAAAGGAGCGCATGTGCGTCGAATCTATTAAATTCTGGTACCGAAATGAGCCTGGCCTGGGCTGGCTTCCATGGATAATTTCCCTGAACTCTAAACCCCCGTTTTCAAAACCAAAACAAGATGCCTCCGGTGGCGCCAACCACGGAAATAGAAATAGCAAACAAGGCTGTCACTTGATTGGCAAATAGCTAATGTACTTAATGCCATGGGCTCCCAGAATGTATACGTGCTTTAGATAGCTGCTGCGTAATGATCTAATCTACCTAAACCCCCTTTATATTATTATTGAGGAGTGGAGTTTGGTTACATCTGGCCGGTACTCGAAATGGTCTAATCTACCTAAACCCCCTTCATATTGAGGAGTGGAGTTTGGTTACATCTGGCCGGTACCGCGTAATGGTCTAATCTACCTAAAACCCCTTTATATTGAGGAGTGGAGTTTGGTTACATCTGCCGGTACCGCGTAATGGTCTATCTACCTAAACCCCGTTATATTGAGGAGTGGAGTTTGTTACATCTGGCCGGTACGGTAATTGTATAATCTACCTAAACCCCCTTTATATATATTGAGGAGTGAGTTTTGGTTACATTGCCGGTTTACATCTGGCCGTACCGCGTAATGTTAATCTACTAAACCCCTTTATATTGAGGAGTGGAGTTTGGTTACATCTGGCCGGTACCGCGTATTGGTCTAATCTACCTAAACTCCCTTTATATTGAGATGTGGAGTTTGGTTACATCTGGCCGGTACATCTGGCCGGTACCACGTAATGGTCTAATCTCTAAACCTCCGTTTCTTTTATTGAGGAGTGGAGTTTGGTTACATCTAGCCGGTACCGCGTAATGGTCTAATCTACCTAAACCCCCCTTTATATTGAGGAGTGGAGTTTGGTTACATCTGGCCGGTACCGCGTAATGGTATAATCTAACCTCGGCAGGTAAACTGCCTGAGTTCTCAACCCCTTTAATGCTATTTCCTATTTCCTATTCCGGTGAAGCCAAAGTATAAGGATAGAGATAGTCATCAGCAAACAAAACTGAACATTGATGGTTCAATACAAGTTAGGGGTAGGAATAAATCATTAATATTTAAGGTTAGTGCAATCAGCACAACAGCACACCAGCAGGAGCTGTAAAGGTTAGAGTTACAATAAGGGAATGGCAGCTGGTAAATTATAGAGTAGCGGGCGGCAACACACACCGTAGTCGGGTGTTGTCGCCAGGGCTAGCTTAATAAAGAAGGTTGCAATGAGGGAATGAACGATACCGGGCGGCAACACACGACGTAGTCGGGTGTTGTCACCAGGGCTGGCTTGAAAGATGGGTGCAATCTCGAACATGATCCTCCTTCTTCTATCTGTCTTTCTGCGGAGGTATCGCAGCTCCCGCTGACTTAAATATCCCAAGTTTTTAACCATACCGGTACGACTGTACCATACTGTATGGGCTAACTCGGCTAACCCTAACCCTCCAAAAAGGACAAAAAAAAGGGAGACGACCACAACAAAATTCTAACCCAGCCAACTCCGTGGTTGGCGAAACCAAAAAAAGTAAAAGACTAGTAAATTTGGCCTCCAGAGCATGAGGGCCAAGACGAGACAAGTATTGCTTATTGTCGTAGCCGAAGGAGAACAATATCATCGAAGACTATCACTGGCTAGCGATTCCGCTCAAACAATACCAATATCATTTCATCCCAGCCATGGACGACGGGGAAAAAATGGATAAAGACCGCAGAACCCAAGATACCGCTGAAGCGGTCACCGCCCCTACCACAGCAGAAACTCTCGCTTTCTGGCCACAACCATCAGCCAAAATAACCCATACGGATGATGGGAAAGCTTCAGCCAAAGGCAAGGAAACAAAGGATGATGAGCACAATATCATTGACTCTGCCAATTTGAAACTTCCAGCCATGGCATCTCGGTTTAGTGACATGGATTCCTCAAATGATATCCCTCAAGAAAGCCCTCTTGACCGAAACACACCCGCTGATTCAGTTTCGAATAATCAAGCTTTCATAGAGGAAATTGTAGGTGGAATTGAGCCAATCCCCGTGGCATCTTCGACGGTGCGTCGAAGTGCAAACAACGAGCAATGGCACCGTCCTGGGGCCTACAGGGATGCAAACATGCTGCCTGTATCAGAACTTGACTTTAGGCTTGTTGGAACCAATGGCAGCAGTGGCAATCAAAATGCTATGGAAGAGCCTGCTAGTGTTGTTGTCCCAGCAGACACTGATACTGTCCAAATGCCAACAATTTCCAGTGACCACGGACTGGTTGAAGCTAGAGCCATTACTGAATCCAGTGTGCTCGTATGTCAAGAAGCCCAGAAAGTTGATGATGCAGTATTGGAACAACAAACCGACAGACAGGAAAAGGAGAGACATTGCCAAAGAGTAGGCTACACAATAATTTTTTGCTCAATTATCATCATCGCCATCAGTCTGGGAGTTGGGCTGAGGCCGACACCAGAAGCCATCAAAAATGCTATACCAACATTTGCACCAACCATAGCCCCAACCCCACTGGAATCATTCCTTTTGTCGTTGCTCCCTGAGCAAACTATCACTGGAATTGAAGACAAGGATTCAGCACAATACCAAGCTTTTAAATGGCTACAAGAGGATCCTTCTGTCTATGACTATCCAGATTGGCGGATTCTCCAAAGGCATGCTCTGATGACTGTCTTCTATGCGACCGCTGGCCCAACGCTATGGTTCAACAACACAGGGTGGGGAAACTACAATCAGCATGAATGTGTATGGTTTCAAAATCGAGAATTTGCGATGAAGACAACTCTACAAGCATTGTACCCTGGTCTCCTATCATACTTCTTGATTCCTCAACCTGACAGCCAATGTGACAAGCAAGGGCGCTATCAGCATTTGTGGTTGGATTAGAACAATCTTTTGGGTTCGCTGCCCATGGAACTGTTTAGCTTGACCTCACTTGAGACCATTTCTGCTGGTTTGAATCCTCTTGTTGGATCAATATCGAGCTACATTGGGCAGCTCCAGCAGTTGCGGGGGCTTGTCTTTTTCTCGACTGGGCTGTCTGGATCCATACCAAAGAAAATGGGCAACATATCATCATTTGAATTCATTGCGTTGAGTTACAACAAGCTGGAAGGGTCCATTCCTAATGAAATCTGGCAACTTAGCACTCTGGATAGTCTTGTTCTTGGTCGCAATGAGAAGTTAGCAATAACTTTTAGGAGCGAGAGCTCTGGATCCCGTCAGAGATAGCTCCAACAGCTATGCTGGCCTACAGCTCCAGCACCCACAGCTGGCTTATCTCCAGCCAAAGCAGCAAGAAAGGATCGTCCTTTCCATCATAGTTAAGAAAATAGTACGAAAGATTGAGACCGATCCTGATTAGCTTGTAGCCCCTTTGATACCGCAGCAGTTGATACCAATCCTGTTGAGGCCGGGCAGAAGCAGTAGGAGGTAGCAGATAGTACTGTTCCCAGACTGCCACTGCACGATTGAATAACGAAGGCCACCAGCTCCTGAGGTGAGCTGGCCCGAAGGGCTCAGCAGAGAGCTCTGCTGGCCCTCCTGTCTGACTGACAGGGCCAAGTCCTTGGTTTGGTGCCTACTGGAGGTGTTGGAATACTCCTGAGGCACGACAAGGCTCCCTGAACTGCCTGACTACCGCTGTCCCTGAGGAAGGGTTTCAGCGAGACCCAGTCCACTACTTGAGTATTGGAACTGAACCTTCAAGAAACTTATTGGATTAACAGTCAGCATAGTGCACTACGCTAAAAGCTAGTGTAAAGATCTTTCGAGTGTTTTGAGTTTGAGAGAATGAAAGTTATGAGAGGATTAGAAAGCTATGAAAAACTAATCAACGAGAGAGATCCACAATCAAAGGATCGTAGATCTGAACTCCCGCGGGAGACTGTAGAGTGAGATAGAGTAGGTTGCGGTAGCAATCCTACTCACTCCACGATCCCAAAACGGAACGCGTGGAAGATTCGTCTAGCATTTATCTAGTAGCGTGGAAGTACTCCACGCTGGCTAAATATCTAGAGCGATGTTTCATCATCAACCTAGTATGACTAGAGCGGTCATTGAGAATTCTGTCTCCAATGACTATTCGCGAAGGACTATGTCATGAGTCGAACTCAGACCCTATCTAGGATCGAGTCGCGAATAAGGCTAAGAGCCGTGTATTGCAATAGATTTGCAGGCAGTTCTTAAGGGAAGAAGAGATCTCCTTGACGAGAAAAGGATCTCTTCGAAATACAACAATCAGTGCTACAGCTACAGTTGAATTCATTGAATTTCATTGGCATTTTGAGGTGGTTTCAAGGACCATTTTGAAGTCTTAAGTCAACAACCTTGTGGTCAATTCTGAGAGTTCCAGTCTTCACCACAGTGACAGGAACCTTTGACTTAGCCATCAACCATCCTACAAGCCAACACAAAGCCCATTGCCTTGGAAACGACCCACAACTTGACAACAACCTCATTGCCGAAGCTACCATACTTCCACAGAAGAGAGGAAAAGCACTCAATCCACTCGAAAGAAGCGGCTCTACTACTGGTCGCGGTACGGAACACCTGGAGTCTCCGAGTGCACACGAGACTTATTGATTCGCACCCCTTTTGGCTACTGATACCAAGTTTTTTACATCCGAAGGAACGTGGCTTATCTCTCTGCATTCGGGCTTATCGCTTTCAGTTTCTTCCAGCGAATTACGTGATTTATTGCAGCGTACGAGGCTTATCTCTTCAGCTCGCCCGTGCAGTTTCGCGTGTCACGAGTTTCCGTCCAGGAACAAGGCAACGTTCTTTTTCGGAAGCTGCTCAGCCAATCAACACGCCCGTGCAGTATCTTTCAATTTACGCGGAACGTTGATTTGTTCCTGGACGATCTTTCGAAAAGTCGCTCAGCCAATCAAAACGTCCGTGCAGGATTCGAGAGTTCCGTGAAAGTTTGGTACTTATCACGACGTGCACTGAGTCAGTTTGTGAGTTCCTTTTCGATCCTGGATCTCCGAAGACTTATACGTTCGAGGTTCCCCGTTCCGAAAGCAGGATCAGCTTCGGTAAGCTCGCTGCGCTCACAATTTCAACGAGTTTACGAGGTTCTTCGTCGAGTCATTGAAAATTTTGGATCTTCCGTACGGAGCCATCTACCACCTCGAAGGGCAACTCGGAGCGACGACGCGGCACCCAAGAGGTCAATTCACTTGGCTGAAAGAGTTACCACTGGAACCGCCATACCTCAATTGGTCAGTGGATATACCAGCTTGAATTTCGGAAGCTTTAGTGGGGAGATTCATTGGACCCAAGTTGACTGGTCCCACTGTGGCAAAATCTCACCAATCCAAGCCAATTCCCAGCACTACGGCAATTCAGGAAACAGGTTCCAAGGCTTGTACACAGGCTACCTTATTCAATTACACCTAGATTGAATTTCCAAGACCCCTACCAAGGTCCCAGGAAGTCCCCTTTGTGTTTTCCAAACCACAGTTGAGTCAAGGCTTATTGCCCTGCTACAAGAGCCCAACTCCAGTATTTCCCAGGTACAGGCTACACTTCTTCCTTGGCAACCACAAGAGGCACCATGTCACTCTACATACCCACAGTGACTCCTCCACCATCACGGAAGGCCTTGAAGGCGAGAGAACC